AATGTGGTCCATGTCCTCTGGCTGTGTAGGTATCAGGAAGAACATGTCTTTGACATCTATCGTTGCCATGATTGTGTGAGCTTTTTCTTGTACTGATGTTATTAATTCAGCTAAATTTGGCACTGCTGCAGTCAGGGGTCAGTGTTGGCATTGAGCCTACGATAATCAATCGTGAGCCTCCACGTCCCGTTGGGCTTTTGGACTGGCCACACGGGTGAATTGTATGGGGAGTGTGTGTTAATTATTACTCCTTGGTCACGCAAATCTTGAATAACCAGTTTGATGCCTTCCCTAGCTCCAGAAGGCAAAGGATATTGTTTCACATTGATTGTTTTACTGCAAGGCAGTGCGGGTGCGGTCTGAAGCAGCCTAATGTTAAGTGGTGGAGTGTCAAAACACCACAGAAAACCCTCAGTGTCTTCCCACTGCCTTCCTGCAAGGACATCCATCCCTAGCAGATTGTTCAGAATGTCCCCAATTACCATTTTGACAACTAATTGATTTTCCTCTCCAGGGAGTGTTACTTTGACTAAAGCAACATTCATGGGTTCTATAGTTCCTAAAGCATTAAGAACGCAGCATTGCCTTTTTGTTGGAACAACTCCACACTTCTGGGCACCTTTATGTGTTAGTGTGGAGATCTGGGCTCCCGTATCAGCTATGAAGGTTACCAGAACTTATTTGGGGCCCATGATAGCTGTGATTAATATATCTCCTGATTTGTTTTTTGTGAGCATTCGTAGGTAAACCCAACCTCCGTCCCTTCGTCACCTGTAAGCAGCGGAGATATCAGTTTCCTGAAAGCTCTGTTGGTGTGGATTCAGTGTTTGTGTTTTGGGGTACGGGCGGGTGGACAGTTATGTTGCTTAGGCTCTGTGAAAGAAGTTGTGAAAGGGTTACTTCTGGCTTACTGCCAGTGCTTTTTAAGAGACATGCAGCCAGGGTTTCACTGTCCAAGTTCTGAGAAAGAAGCTGAGAAAGAGTTAGCTTTGGCTCACTGGCTGTGTTCTGTGGGAGGGACTGAGATGCAGTTTCACTGCCCAGATTCTGAGGGAGAAACTGGGGAAGGGTTAACTTTGGCTCACTGGCTGTGTTCTGTGGGATGGAATGAGATGTACTGTGTGTACTGTACTGTGTATTAGAATGGGGACCTTAGGGCATCGGCCTGGCCACGGCCCTGCAGCTCACCAGGGACCCCCAGAAGCGACACCTGGGTGAGAGGTGTGTCCCCAAATGTCCCCAGGGCAGGGAGGGTGACGAGGGACACACAGGGCGGGGAGGGGTGGATGTGGCGGATCTGTCACAGGGCGCTGAGTCCCGGCTGGATGATAACAGGGGTGCAACAGAGCCCCCGTTGGAGCTCCGCAGAATCCCAGCTGCCAGTGGAGGTTCGGTGCAGAAACAAAAAGGCAGCAGCACGGGCCCTGGGGTGGAACTGGGGGAACTTTATTCAATGGTAAAACTCCCTGAGTCTGTAGCAGGCTCCATGGAATTGGCCAGGGCCCCATGGAGGGCTGAGGCTTAGCGACAGGAATTGCTGAGTCATGATGAAATAGCAAAATAAGCTCCTGTCTTCCACCTCTCGGACCCCAGCTTATCTCTGTAACCCCATAGGTCACTTTCCCCCAATCCCTACTATTGGACAAGTTTGGATCCTTTTGTACCCTATAAAAAGGGGCTATTTTAGACCATTTGGCAGAAGAAGAGCGTCGCTGGAACCCTTTACACACCCCCCAATAAAACCATCGCTGTGGAACGCCAGGACCTTTCTTCTCCTCTCTCATCTGCTTCCCCCGATAGCCTGCCAGGCACCTTAGCAAGCAAGGAGCTGGAATTCCAAGAGAGCTGATAATCACTAAAGAGCTGATATCCACTCAGCTTGCTTAAGGTAGCCATGGCCACGAGCAGCCTGGGTATTTGGGCTCTCGGTCCCCAGCAGGGACTGAGCTATCCGGCCCGTGCTGCCTTGCTCGGGGGCAAAACCTGCCCTGCGGGCTGAGGGGCAATGCGAGTCCAGGATCCCAGGACCCTAAACAGACAACAGCTTATAAACGGGGGGGTCTCAGGGAGGATAAAATCTCTAGCTAATCGGGGGAACTGGGGGTGGGACACAAGGCAGGGAATACAATGTGTAAACCAATGAAGGACTTCAAGGGAGGAGAACAGCTTGAGTAAACCAATGGGGTTTCGAAGGATACAAAACTGACAGGGAAGTTTCTAGAGGGGAGGGCAGGTTCGGGCAGGGATTGACATTGAAGCCATTTATTACAATGAACAATAGTTTCTGAGAAATAAAAGAATTAAAAGACACTTAAAGTATATCAAGGGAATCGCAGAAGTTAATAAATAACCTAAAATACACTGTTAGGGAGAACTTTGATCAGATATCTAGATAAGTTAATAAATAATCTAAAATACACTCACAGAAGAAACTTTGGAATTAGAATATTTGAAGAAGCAGAAGTGGAAGCCAATAAGTTAAAGTGACCTGCCAAGCCGTTAGAATCAAGCCAAGTACAACAGTAACTTCTGCCAAGCCATGGAAAAACATGCCAAGGATAACAGGAAGATATCCAAATTAGGAAAAGCTTAAAATTTAACTAAGGAAGACCCAGAGTTCCCGGAAGACTCCGCCTATACTTCTGCCTGCCTATGAATATGCATGTAATAAATGATGTAATCCTTGTTCAAAATTGTATAAAAACCTGCTTTTGCTGTACATAATTTAGAAATCCATTTAGTGATTTCTCCAACGCGTTGTCAATAAATACCTCCTGCCTATAGACCTTAAATCCAGTCTCTGGGCAGCTTATTATCGCCTTTTGGGGCAAAATTCGGTATCAACATTCAATGGAAGGAGGAGTAAGGAAGGGTCTGGGGCAAAGGTAGGGGCAGGAGGGGTTAACAGCTGGGAAGGGGTGGAGGTTTGAAACTTGGCAGGGAGTAGCTGGGTAACAAACAGAACTAAACTGAATAACGGGGAGGACAATACAGAGGGGTTGCAAACCCACAAATTACACAGAGAACCTGCCAAATAAAGAAAGCACGCTTCAACAGGTGGACATCCTGGGAGTGTCCTCAACTCCTTAAGGGACACACCAGGATTGTCCCCAGCAGGGGATTTTGGGATCCTTGATGGATTTTTGAGATCCCTGATGAATTTTGGGAGGTTTTGGGATCTGTGATGAATTTTTGGGGTCGCAGTACCAGTCAGCATGCGAAACCTGTCACGATGGATTTGGGGCCAGGGCTCTCTAATGGGGTTTTTGAGATCCCTGGTGAAGTTTTGGGATCCCTGATGAATTTTCGGGGTCACTGACTGATGTTTGGGGTTGCAGTCCCGGCCACCATGAGGGCCCTGTTGCAGCAGGGGCCACTGGAGGGGCCATCCTTGGGGACAGCCTGTGGATCCTGTGGCTCAATGTCACCAGCAACAGTTCCGTGGCCGAGAGCCTGTGGGGAGTTCCAGGGGGATGCGTGGACATCATGGGTGAGGAGTTTTGGGGGGTTCTGGGGTGGTTTAAAATGTGACCCATAGCATGGGGAATGGACCCAAAATGGAGGGGGAAGGACTCAAAATCAAAGGGTGTCATGGGATGTCGTGGGGTGTCACAGGTGCCGTGGCATGACTCTGCCTGTGCCAGGGTGGGCGCAGACACTCAGTGCCAGGAGCACCCATGGGAACATCCTGAGGGACACGGGGACACCCCGCAGGACACAAAGAGACCCTGCAGGACAGGAACCCAAGACCTCGGGGACTTCAGCCCCACCAGGGGTGGGGACAGGGACATAGGCGGAGGGACAGGGACACACAGAGGGGTGACAGGGACACACGGGACAGGATGGGGACACAAAGAGGGGTGACAGGGACACACGGGACAGGACGGGGACACACAGAGGGGTGACAGGGAGCCATGGTGGGGGATAGGGACATACAGAGGGGAGGAGGGGACATGATGCAACCATGACAAACATCAGGGGACAATGTTGCCACATCTGTGTGGATGCTGCCACCAGGACGCCTCTGGTGACACCCAGTGCAGGACAACCCGACCTGCCAGGTGACACTGACCTTTTCCCCTGTCCCCAGCCTGTCCCCAGGGGCAGCTGAGGTCCCCTGAGTGCAGTGGCCCTGGGACACCCTGGTGGCTGTCACTCGCTTACGGGCCGCTTGTCATCAGCTGAACAATGGCCCCATCCTGCCCTGATGGGTGGTGACATTCAGCTGGGACACCGCGGTGGTGACAGTGGGGATGTGGTGGCAGGAATTGCATCAGGCAGCGCTTTGCCATGGCCCAGATGAAGGTGCTGGTGGCACTGTGGTGGTGGCATTGATGCTGTCCCAGTTCATGTCCCTATGCATGTTTGCCATGTTCCCATCCATGTCTGTGTTCTGCCATGTCCCCCCATGGCCCTACACATGTCATTGTACCCCACATGTCCTCATGCACGCCTTAGTTCAACACCTTTATTTCTACCCCAGTTTCAGGGCTTTGAAAGGAATGAACAGAAACCTTTTAGTTTCAAGGCAAAAAAAAAAACCAAACTATTTATATATCACTGCTGGCAGAGCAACCATGTGCTTGGCGGGTGGGAAGCACCTCTTTGGAGGGGTTGCCACCCAACTGTCTTGAAAATTGGAAAATTGAGGGTTTTGCCCCAGTCCCTCCAAATTGGGCTGTGGAAGATATCTGTGGGCCAGAGAGAATTAAAACGATGGATTTATGTTGGAGAAGACTTCCAAGGCTATCCAGTGTTGTTAAGGCCACCAGAAGAGGCAAAAAGTGATTTTTTTCTGGGGTCAGGAGTGGACAAATCAGCTCTACAAAATGGATTTTGGATGTTGGTCCATGGATGTGTGCAGGTACCCACAGGCAGCCAGGAGGATGTGGAGCCCCCCAGCCAGGTGTCTTCCCAACAGGGATCACCGGCACCACAGATCACCGGGGGTCACTGGGGATCATCCAGGGTGGACCTCCCATAGGGGATGGAGCTGGAGCAGTGCAGGAAGCTCTTCCTGCACTCAGGGCACTCACAGGGCTGCCCTTAGTGGTGCCTCCGTTGATGGTGGGTCACGGCTGAGCTTTGCCGGAATCTCTTCCCACACTCGGGACACTCATAGGGCGTCTCCCCGGTGTGGATGCGCCGGTGGCTGGTAAGGTGGGTGTTGCGCTGGAAGCCCTTCCCGCAGTCGGGGCAGCGGAAGGGCCTCTCGTCTGTGTGAGTGCGCAGGTGAAGCAGGAGATGGGAGCTGGTCTTAAATGCCTTCGAGCATTGATCACACACGTACGGCCTCGCCCCAGGCCCCTCTCCGCTGTGGATGCGGCGGTGCCTGACGAGGGTGGAATTGTCATTGAAGCCCTTCCTGCAGTCAGGGCAGCGGAAGGGCCTCTCATCTGAGTGAATGCGCTGGTGCTGGCGGAGATGAGAACTGGTCTGAAACCTACTCCTGCATTTATCACACTTGTAGGGTCTCTCTCCAGTGTGGATCCGCAGGTGGACAGGCAGGTAGCAGCTCCTCCTGAAGCTCTTCCCACACTCGGGACACTCATATGGCTGAACCTCTGTGTGGATTCTCCAATGGCGGACCAGGTAGGATCTCTTGCTGAAGCTCTTCCCACATTCCGAGCACTTGTGGGGCTTCTCCCCAACCTGAAGCTGCTCATGGACCCCCAGCTCTGAGCTCTGGCCGCCTTCCTGGCCCTGGGTGGAACTTTCCTCCTCAGATCCCCGAGATCTGTGTTTGCAGCCCCTCCTCATGCGGGTTCTCCAAGACTTTTCCTCCCCATTGGATTCCTGCGCTGTGGAGTTGCTCAAAACAGCCTCTTCCACGAGGTTCTGCTGTGGGGATTTGTCCTCCCTGCTCTCCATCCTCAGCTCCTGCTCTGGGGGAGGAAGGACAAGGAGAGGATGGGATTTGCCTCTGTACCACAGGGAAGGGCAAGGAGATGCCCCCAGTGCATCCCCAGCAGGACAGCTTTGGCAGCAGGGTTGTCCTGCAGCCGGGGACCGTGCTGGGCTGGGAGATGGAGCAGGAGAGAGAGGGAAAGGGGCACTGACTTCCTCCTCACCTGCCTGGGGCTCCCGGGCCATCTTCCTCTTCTTCTTCCTCACGGCCTTGAAGCCCCAAAACGGATAGCCTTCAAGAAATAATGAGTTAAAACATGGAATGTGAAACATTCGAAGAAAGCATAGCACTTAGGAAACATATAGAGCAATAAATCGGCTAAGGCATGGAACACAATGACAGGAAAGAGAGATAGGGATAGGGGAATTGATGGGCTAAGCATGTTCAGAGCCAACAATGTCAAACTGACCCTAAGAGCCTTGCCAAGCCATGGGACCAAGCCAAGTACACCGGGAATTGGCCATATTAGGATAGGAGTTCAAAAGTTTAAGGAGGAAGACTCATCAGGTGACCCCTGTCCACGATGAAGGCAACCGGAACGACCACCAAAATGATCCTCAAAAGAGATGTCTCCGCCCACACTCCGCCTACACCACGCCTCTTATGAATATGCATGCAAAAAACATGATTATGCATGTGATATGATGTAACTTTATATTCAAAACTGTATAAAAGGCTTGCTTTTGTTACGAGATAGGGAGAAATCCCTTTTGTGATTTCTCCGACGTGTCGTAATAAAATACCTCCTGTCTATGCTGACTTAAATTGAGTCTCTTAGGCAGTTATTCTCGCCTTTTGGGGCAAAATTCGGCATCAGCCTCCTGCATCGGGCCAAGGTTTGAGAATGGGAAATCCTGGTTTGGGGGAAAACAAGGGCTGAGCGCGTTGGGTTTCATGGTCCCGCTGCCCAAGTATAGCTGGAGAAGTCAGCGCCCCTTTCAGCCTCAGGAGGCCCGGAGCCCGCTCATCCCCAGCATCCCGCACCCCTCCAGGCAGCCGGTTTGTCCCCCGGCTCCGGGATCGCCCCTCTGCGCTCTCCCCGCTCCGGGGCTCCCGAGCTCCCCCCAGCTCTCCAGGGCATCTCCCAGCCCGAGATCGCCCCCGTGCCCGCCGGTACCAGGCGAACGTGAGACCGCCCATGCTCTCTCCACGGGAAATTTACGGTTCGGGTTTGGGGTCCTGCAAGAGTCAAACATCCCCCGCCCCACGAAAAAACCCTCCCGGAGACCCCCCCACGATGGATCTGGTGCGAGCTCCCCCATCCCGCTCACCTGCGGCTGCTGGAGGGGGCGATGCAGCAGGAGCCGGGGGAGCTTCGGCCTGAGGGGCGGGGGAAGGCGGCGGGGAAACCAGCGTAGTTCTGCCGCTCGTCTTCCTCCCGGTCCTCCTCTTCCTCCTCCTCCTCCTCTGTCCCTCCTCTTCCTCCCGCTCCTCCTCCGCTCCCAGCCCGGCCCGGACAGTGCCGACCCCCAAAAGCAGCCGCGCTCTGTCCTGGGCGCGCGTTCCGAAACAACACCGCCCCGCGCGGCACTGGGAGTGATCCTGGGAGCACCGGGAGCGATCCTGAGAGCAGCGGGAAGGAACTGGGAGCGCTTTCCCTGCCAGTGCCGCTCTTACCAGGAGCACTGGGAGGGAACGGGGAGCAAACAGCGCCCGGAGGCGGCCGCAGCCGGCGGTGGGCGGAACCACGGTGGAAGGCGTGGTTATGCAAATACAGGAGCGATCGCGCGCTGGGATTGGTGGACGGGAGCAGCGCGGGGTTTATTCGGTTGTGTGAGGGCCGGGGGAGCCGGAACGATGGCGGCGGCGTGCGGTGAGAGGGGACGGAGAGCGGGAATGGGGACAGGGAGTGGGAACGGGACCAAGAATGGATATAGGGACCGAGAATGGGACCGGGGAAGGGGACCGGGACTAGGGACAGAGACTGGGAATGGAGACCGGGAATGGCACCGGGAATGCGGGCAGGGACCAGAAATGGCACCGGGAATGGGGACAGGAGCCGAGAATGGGGGCCGGGAGTGGGACCGGGGAAGGGAATAGGGACCAGGAATGAGACCAGAGATGGGGACAGGGTCCGCAAATGGAGACAAGGACCAAGGAGGAGAATATGGGAACGGGACGGGGAACATGGAAACAGCAACCGCAGAGAGAATATGGGCTGGGGATTGGTGCTCCAAAGTGTCCCACTGAAAGCCAGCAGGGGCTGTGAGCTCTGCAGCTGGGCCTCCCCTGCGCTGCTGCGGCCCAGGGCCCAAAGGCGGGAGCTGCAGCCTCGCTCCTGTCTCAAGAACAGGAGCCTCCTCCAGGCCCATGGCCCCTGCCTGGCCCCAGCGTGAGGGAGGGCTGTGGTAGACAGGGAAAGGCGCTGCGGAAGATCTCGCGATGTCACGGAAAGCCAGGACCCTCAGATCCCCTCAGATAAGACCATCTGCTTCCCATAGATAAGAAACTAACATAGGAATGTAACCCTCCTAACCAAATTCCAGTAACTTTCCATCCCCTACCCAGTAACAGTCCACCTCTTACTAACCATAGATGGTAAAGACAGACCCACATTGACGTAGAGACCCCTTAGACAATAAAAACCCAAGAGACGAGACAATAAACGCCTTTTGACCGTCCATCACATTGATGTCTGCGTGTGTCATTGGCCCGAGTGGCCCTAGTGAGAGGGCTGCCGTGCCGTTTCCTCAGAACCAGGTCGCCTGCCTTGCTTCAGAAGGCAACATACTGGTGCCAAACCCGGGACTGCTGCAGCGCCCGGGGAACGGGAATTCTCCTGGTCAGAGGGCGGCGGCTGTAGCGGCGGGTCCGACTACAGCGGGAGGGACGCCTCCGGACCAGCGTGGACCATGGAATCCACAGCGAAGGTCGTAAGTCAGGCTCATGAGCAATGGGGAATTAAAGGTGAGCTCAGGAACTCTAATCTTGCTATTGCAAGGCTCCTAGAGCTGGGGACGATCGGACGTCCGGTAAAAATATTATATTCGGGAGCGCGGGAGAAGTGTACTGCCGCCTCAGCAGAGGACTCTAAGTCCGCAGGCAGAGGTAAAAACCTCAGAGCGTGGGGGAAAGTAGAAGAGACCCTACGCGAGACGTTAGAAGAACAGGAGACGCGGAAAGCCGCGTGTACAGGTTTATTAGCTACACCAAAGCCGGGGGTGGGGGCCGCGACACAAACCGCCTCCGAGAGCGATTGGATTGAAGGCGGGAACATGCGGGGGCCGGGCGCGTTCCATCCCTTTCCGAGCCCGAGCCCAGACCCCCCGGAGCCCCCAGGAGACCCCCCGGAACCCCCAGGGAACCCCCCGACCTTCCCACGGAGCCCGCCGGGTCCTAGCCCCCCCGCGGAACCATCCGAGAAAACCGCAGTTTCTCTATCCGTCCCTTCCCCGCCGGTCGCCGATCCAGCAGAAGAGGCAGAGCAGCGCGCGCGATGCTTCTGGCAGGGACCCGCGGAGAAGGCGCGGAACGCGGCCGGATGGTCGGACCCTGCCGGGATCGGTAAAAACTCGCCCCCGCCATGTGCGTTTAAAAATGGCGCCGAACCACATGGCGAGGGCGGAAAGGGAGGAGGAGAAGGGCGGAAATGCCGTCAGGCTGCTTAACAACGCATGCGCGGGCGAGCGGGGAGGGGGGGCGGTCCCCGCGGTAGAGTGTCAGACCAACCAGAGCGCTCTATTCAAATTAGGTCCTTATAGGGCAAGGACCTCCGCCGGCAGGAGGCGGGGGGACCCCAGGGGGAGGGAGCGGCACCACCCCCAAAGGGAGGAGCGGGGTCGGAGCCGCACAAAACGGCACGGAGCGCTGGAAGTGTACTGGCAGTCAGCTTCCGGCTCAGAGTCAAGTAACAGCTGCTCAGACAGCTCGGAAGTGCCGACCGAGCCCGGCTGGGACTCGGAAACCGAGAGAGCAGAATTAATGCGGTTTCGAGCGAAACCGAATAAAGCTTTAAACAATATCGGGAAACAATCGCAACACAAACTCACCGATGGGGGAAAAATAAAAGCAGCCTGTGGGGACCGGGCACCGGCAGCCTCCATGCACGCTTTCCCAGGGGGGGTTGCCGGAGCGCGGGGGAACCAACAAAGGGCATATACCCCAGTTAACCCAAAAGAAGCCAAAGGGATTTCAGAAATAGGGATCAACTCAGTTGTAGTACCCACTCCTGAGGACGGCCTTTCTAGCAATAACGATCTGCTCAATTTTGATATTACGCAAATAAGCCGCATGCTTTTTGATGGGGCGGGGCGGATTGCATTTAAGCAGGAATGGCAAGACGACCGTGTTAGCCCAGGCTTCTGGGGAAGGACAGCTAGTCAGCGAGCACAGCTTTCCCTGGCAGCACCCTCACTCCAAGCATCCCGGCCCCGGGGAAACGGGAGAGGGAGGGGGCGCGCGGGCCACACTCAGCCTCCTCCCGCTGCAAATGCGAGACGGCCCAGCTACAGCAACCCCCAGTGGGGCAGGGGACCCTCAACCCCTATGCCCCCACAGGGAGCAGTCAATTTTGCAGAATTCTCCACCCCTGTTAGGAAGGGACGTTCTCTCCTTGCTCGGATTTCGGATCACAAATTTACCACGAGGGCCACTGCTGTACACCCCCCGCTGCCAATCAAATTGACTTGGAAATCATCAGACCCTGTATGGGTTGAGCAGAGGCCGCTGACAGAGCCTCGAATGGCAGCCTTGCAGGAACAGGTCGATCGAGAACTGCAAAAGGGTCACATAGAACCCTCCACCAGCCCTTGGAACACCCCGGTATTCGTGGTCCCCAAAAGGCCCGGACAAGGCTATCGTCTCGTCCACGACCTGAGAGAAGTGAACAAGATGATCAGACCCATGGGTCCAGTCCAGACACTGCTACCCACGAACTCAGCCATCCCCGAAGGGCAGCCGTGTGCAGTACTGGATATCAAGGACAGCTTCTTTTCAATACCTCTGCACC